ATATTTTTATAAATGGATTTGGTAGGACAGCTTCTTAACAATTCATACTATCGACGGGGGTCTTGATTTTCAGATACATGACCTTTGACCTTGATATTGAGGTCAAGGAAAAGGATTATTTTGACGTTCTAGATTTTCATATCCAACTAAGTAAGCCATCACGTGACTTTGATGACGTAGCAATCCGCCATCTTTAGTAAATTTGTCTCATAGAAATTGCAAAGACTTTTTTCCCCGTTAATTCGACCCGTTTTCTAACTTTTGCACCTCTTTCCTTTTTCTTCGAACATAAGTAAAACTAACAAACCTTCGTCTTCTTATAATCAATTTCACAAATTCCTTTAAAAAATGCATAACTTTGCACCTATATTGTAATATCTGAAACATACGTCTAGCGCTGCATCCTATTTTTAACAGTTTAATTTGTTTGCAAATTACGTCCCTAATCGATTTAAAACCATGAATTTTTCGGATTTTTCAAAATAGCGGCTGTGTCATTTGTCATGTATATACTTCAGATAAATTTGCCTTTCTCATTATTTATTTGTCATATTTCTGAAAGTTGCATGTTTTGTTCATGATTATTTTAAAAGTAGTTTTTTTTCGATGTAAAAAAATGATTTTTGTTACAGTCCATACATATAACATCTGCATTAAAATATAGAAAGGCACAGACGTATATCTACCAGTGTATGTATGTCTCTGATAAAGGTAATACAACAGGTAAGCCTGCCAAGTTACAGACAGGTAGATAAAGTCTACATAACACAATTATTCAGGTAGTACACAGGAAACGTATGCAAAACCAAATTACCAATTCTTGTTATAATCATCCCGTGTACAAAGTTATTTCCAGAGTTTTAAAGTAATATATGACATATTTTGCCCCCAGGAAATTCTTCCACATATCAAATTCTATCACAACACTGGATAAGATATCAGAAATATAGTAATGAAAAAAAAAATATTTTTACATACATGTAGTTATTTTTTTTATGAATCACATATTAATTGTAAAATATATCATTTGAATTTTTCTGTTTGTAAAATTTGTCATTTGATAAAAATAAAAAGATTAAGCCTAAACTCAATGCAAATAATTTTGGATTTTTTTTTTTTTTTTTTTTTTTGAATTTTATTTGACAAAGGTTTTACCGGAATTTGACCTAATGTAGAGATTAAGTGCACATAATAAATGTCAGAACTTATCGACCCTTTACCAGCCGATCTGTACCGATAGAGTTTTCGACCCTTATTGTGACTTGTATAGCTGCGTATGTGACCTTTGCTTTGAATAATAAAGCCACAATGTTTTTGCATTAGACTGGACGACATATGAACTTGAAAAAGGTCAACAGGTAGTGACCTGGTTACACTGGAAATATACCTGTTTACACTTATTTCATGTAAAAGTAAGTAGGAGTCATCTATTTTAGAATCAGTGTGAAGTAACCAATCATTTGAAACCAGAAGTAACACTTTGTAAACTGGAAGTAGCAAATCATCTCCTTTATTTCAAGCAAAATTATATAGAAACCTTATATGATCATATATGTTTTTTTTTCTGAATCGGTGTAATGTAAACTATCATATGACACCGGACGGGGCATTTTGTATACCGGAAGTAGCCAACTGTCTCCATTATGTCAAAGGGAAGAACATAGGAACCATATATATTTTTTATAAATTAGTGAAAAGTTAGGTATCAGTTAACGCAGTAATTAGCTGATCATTACCCTTATTTCAAAGAAAAGAACTACAAACTACACATTTATGGAATCTGTGCAAGATAAGATATCTTCAGACACTATTTTTTACGAAGGTCACTTTTTGTAAAAAAAAAGGGATATCTGTATAAAAGCTCGAACCTTTATTGTCAACATGTGAGATGGAAATATTGTAATGTCAATATGACACCAATCCCTCGGTATAATTGTTCATGTCACATGAATACTAAACTACATATAGTAATTGTAAAGATAAGAAACATATCCCAAAGGATAATTGATGATATATTACAGCATATATATATATATAACTACATTTAGATACTCACCTTATATCGGTGTTGAATCGAGCTTAGGAAAGTTATGAAACTCTTTTTGCGAAAAACAAAAACAAAAAGATCTGTTGACGTATATTTGTCCCTTGTGACAATATTAACACATACACATTTTGATATTTGATTGACTAATGTCTTGTAAACATCTGTAGGATTTTTGATGTGATCGATTTAAAATATTTTTATTGTCATCGATTTCAAGGGAAAAGCTCGTGGTCTTTTCGAGCCTTCTCCTGTAAGATCTATAGTTCTTTATGACAGTAAGTTTGAATTAAGAAGCAATCACTGCCGAAAGCCGACTCTTCAGATGGAAACGCTCTTTTGTGAAGAAAATCCAACGCAAGCCATTACACCGATAATTGAAAATTAAAAAAAAACTTTAACTACCGAGTAAGAGTCTCAGTTATCAATGATGTTCGGAATTGACCGTCGTAACAGTGACACGTTTGCTTCTAATTAAAGAGTAAAAAGCATTACTTCAACAAACAATCGGCATTCCCATGGAAACTAACTGTGTTTTTATTTTGTCTACTCATTCCTTTATTCATATGAAGCTGACTTCATACAGAAGCTTCTTAGAAAAAACGAAATGAAACGAGCATTATCCTTTAACTTCACTGTCCGCTATATAGACGATGTCCTATCAATAAATTATTCAAAGTTTGATGACTAGGTTGAACGCATATACCCCAACGAACGTAGAATTAAGGATACAACAGATACAGTTAAGTGTGCCTCATATCTTGACTTACATCTAGAAATTAACAATTAGGTTCGGTTGAGCACAAAACTTTACGACAAAAGAAATGATTTCAGCTTTCCAAATGTTAACTTTCTATTTCTATGTAGCAACATTCCACAGGCAGAGGGAGTATATATCTTCCAGTTGATAAGATATTCCAGGGCTTGCATTTCCTATCATGATTTCCTTGATAGAGGGTTGCTGCTCACAAGGAAGCTATTAAACCAAGAGTTCCAAGTTGTGAAGTTACCGCCACGAGTTGGTTGACCGTAATGGAATATCTGTTTCACAAATGATGACGGATAAGTTCTAATTGTCGTCACCACAATCCCGTCCTCCTTTCCCCCGAATGTAAACTACCAAATTAGACTCATCACTGGGTTTGTACTTACATGAGCAGCACGACGGGTGCAACATGTGGAGCAGGATCTTCCTACCCTTCCTGAGCACCTCGCCTTTCTTTTTTTAGATGTAGAATTGAAATCAGCGATACAGGTGTACTACAAATAAGTTTGGAACTATTTACTTTTGGTCGGGTTCGTCGTGCTTAATACTTAATTTTTTGTGAAGTGTTTTCTTGCCTATTTGTCATTTTCTTTTTGGCATGTTGTCTGCTTTTTTTTTATTTGATTTTTTTAATAAAGCTGAATACTGTCTACTCTGTTTTAGAATATTTCACAAAACCTTTTATGATTGGATGGACAGGAAGTATAATCTATATATATCCTTTGATATCGTTACACCATGACAATTTATCAACTTCCTTGTTATTCTTTTTGAAATATGCTACGAGCTTTTTTATTTACATTAATCTTGTGTGGTTTCCGTTGGTCCCAAACCATATGTGAGTATTGTATCGTACCTATGTAGTTCTGCGATCATTTGGTCAATATCTGGTTGGTATTCTACAAGTTATTCAATCAAAAGTTCAAATTTACCTTAAGTTTACTAAATGTACATGATATTTCATTACAAACCCTGACGTTTGGGTTCTAACAGAATTCTTTGGGGTTAAGGGTAGTTCATTGACTTGTTCCTGTATTGCCTCTTTTCATTATGGCGTTTACATTTCCTCCTTGATATTTTATTTTAAAAGGAACGTGCAAATTATGTTTACCGTTTGCATTTAATTATTGATATCTATACTACTTAAATAACGACGTCCAATTTGTTAGCCGGCATGACGTACAAACTACGAATCAGAGAATTCAACTTGATATATAACTAATATATGACAATGGTGCTGTTAAAGATTACACCATTATAGGCCCTTTTGTTTTTCACATAGTTAATATTACCAATAATTTACAAGTTCTTGGTCGAATCCGAAACCAATACCAATAGTATTATCACATGTAGTTTCCGGTTACCTTCTGTAAATCCCTCCTCTATCAGGAGAACCTGGAATTCTTCCAGTAGTTGTTTTATATCTATGTTACACTATAGTACACTATTTAACAAGTCTGTTTTCTTCCACCTCAATACCACTATTAATTTTGGTAATTAGTTAAAAAATTAGATTAAGCTTATAGTAAGTTTATTATAGTGAGAAAACCAGGACGGGTTCAAACCGAAAGGTTTTGAAAGCAGAGAAAAATGTGCACCTTTCAAGCAGCATGACTTTATCAGATGACAATATGACAATACGAATACTAAAAATCCAGGATAAAAATAAGGCATAGGTATTTTAATTCAGTCACGGACCCGCGATGTCGCTGGTGTGTTCTTGTCTTATTTAAACAAGGAAAGTGCAAATGGTTATCGTCAGATCAGCTAACGAAGTTAAATCTACATATATCTTTCTTATACATTAAGGAATATATCATTGCCCCTGCTGTTTACCATAGTTACCGAAGGTGTCCTACAGACAGCAATACTAAATATAACATTGCAACTCTGTGTTTATGTATCCGAAATCGACAAGATGGTGCATCAAAAGCAAAGATATTTTTTTTTTTTCTGAAAGCTCATTTTCGGCCCCTTTCGAGCAAATCCTCCTTTCCACTGTCTTTTCAAATTTCTGCCCCTTAATCCCTTGGTATTATCAGCTCTTCAATTTTGTGGCCTCAAGCATCACTGAAGAGACATTTATTGTTTACTGGTCTAATATTATTAAATTGTTTTATTCTTAATAGATAAAGCATATTTAGCAAACATAAATCCGTCAATCACTTTTTTCTATTGTAGATGTAAATGCATTAGCTGTAAAATTGCCACAAAACGTTACAGGGCTACTTGGGGAGAATGGAACACGAATAGAATGTGCATACACAATGGAAAACGTTCTTAGGATCGATTTTGTTTCTTTTCTGGCTTTCAACAAGAGCATCAAAACCTTTGATACCATAACAACATATTTACCAGACATAAAGGCGCTGATAACTCCACAAGGACAGTATTTGAAAGGGAGAGTGACACTGAGTAATATAACACAATCTTCAAAAATGGCTGTCATGATATTTAACAAGCTGTTGTGCATAGACGACATATTATATAGATGTAATGTGAGATTCGTTGATTCCGGTGGTGTACCACGAGATGTAACTTCAAACAACATAAGCATTTCAGTACAAGGTATTTATGACATGTATCCTCTTAATAGATAAAACAGTGAAAACAAATGCTGTCCAATTTTCAGAGGTAAAGACCCAGTGGTGGTAATAACATTAACGGTACCAACAGGATATGCATTTTCGACGATTAATTTATCTTGGGTGATGCTGCAACAGTTAAATAAAATTATTCTGTTTTTAATATATAATTGATATAATACTAATGTATGATGTTACAAATTTCGCTCATTTTTATGTCAGGTAAATCTATAAGGGTATTTAGACAAAGTTTAAGTTCATCATTTCATATTGAAATTGATACACATTTAAAAAGCGACAACAAGTTTGCTTTAAAATTTGCTTAATTTTTAAAACAATTATTGTAGAGAAAAAAATCATTCCTTCCTTAACAGCTCCTATTCTCGTTATTGTCAGGACCAAATAAGTATGTGTGTTGTGTGGCTTCACTGATATCATACATTTATATTGGAATAAATAAATAAAAATTAGTATCTAATTATAAAAATACAGTACATGAAATAAAGCGAAAGCTTAATTCAGAGAACAACAACAAAATACAACGTTCATGTCAATAATAAATAATATTCATCTTAAAAATTAAAACCTATCATGCCCATTGTTTGAATTCATGACTCGCGTAGCGTCTGCATAAATCCCTTTAATGGAGATCGCATCAAATTAGTGGGAAGGCAATATCAATTACAAAGATCAAAATAAAAAATAAAAAAGGGCATCTCTGCCTAAGAGTAGACAACCGTTAGGGACTTCAATGATATTTTGAAAATGAACATATCAATGATATTTCATGTCAGTCCTGGCATATTGAATTCTGTGTCGGTCATGCCTTCGGGGACGATTTCTAAACGTCTATTGGCAAACCACTCATCCATATTCAGAGGGGTGAAATGGACAATTTTTACTTCCACAAATAAATAAAGGTATGTTTTACTACCACATAATATTTTCTTTTCGAAATTGCTTCAATTCTGTTTTGTTTAAAGCGGGATCGAGTATATTGATATCGCAGTTTCTGCTATTTATCTTCTTTTTTTTATAATAAGACTTGTTTTAAAACATTTGAAAACACCTTTCTCTTTAGTGTAGGTAATATTTCGACATATCTTAATTTGATAGTGCCACCTTCCAAGCCAGATAGCGTTTCCATAGTGTTTACACCAGCAGATCCTTCAATTATCTCAGCTAAATTGATGGAATATAGCAGCTCACCCTCTTCCAGTACAGTGACATCAAAGGAGAACGAGATTTCGTCTGTCTTCCAGACCGCGAAACAGACGGGTATAACTAAATATAGCAACATAACAGTTGTCTGTACTGGAGATGTTGGAAAGCCTCCAGCAGAACATTTCTTCCAAAAGTATCGTAGTGGACACAGTCTATCTATGATATATAAAGCGTCTGAAACATCAGTATCAGAAATGTCTGAAAATTGTTCTTACTATCGTACAAGTAACCTCACGTTCCAAGTAACAGCTAAAGACAACAATGCAGTGATACGATGTGTTGTTAATTCGTCAATGGAAGAGCCGGATATGTTTGTAGAAACGGCACCAATAGAGGTCTACTGTAAGTAAATACTTTGTAACCTTATTCGTGGTAATAGATTTTCTTTGTAGATGTAGGCACTTCCTTTTGTATAACATAACACTCTGCATGTTATTTGGATAGATATGATTTTAATTTTATAACATTATTTCACTTCTGTTATCAAAAATTTAAAAAAATAATAAACAAAGCCATCACGAGTTTATTGAATGCAAACTACTCACCTATTATAGGTAAAACGATCAAAGTTTGGATTCACAAAACAATAAAAGCAAATGAATATTAAATAATTAAAGCTTGTAACATTTATTTATTCAGTTCTTTAAATAAAAACTCTGCTGTGGATTTATTGAATTTTTGGGAAAGGGGTTCTATTTTTCCTGGATATTTCAAAACTTACAGTATTGTAATGTTACATAATATATTTGTTTCGCTTCCTACGAATGTTTCGATCAATTGTAGAAATATGAGTGTTAATGTTTCTCTCCTAGTTTTAGTTTTGAGATTGTCAGTTTCTTGCCTACAATAAAAAAAAATGTCAACACTATTTGATTTTCAGACTTCTTGTAACTTTGTCATGTCAATCCTAGGATTTCTTATTTTCATTGTTCATTAATCAATAATAATTTTGAACGGTTTTACCACACTCTCAATGACTATACTAAATAGATCAACTGCATTTTGTGTCTCAAATCAATGTCAGGCATTTAATAGGATTGATTTAAATTTTACATCATTTGCATTTAATCATTTAGTTATAGTAATAAGGTGATCTGTCGAGTTACGATGAATTAAAGGTCAACGCTATTTTCTTTTGAATGACTATAAATTGTGCATGCCCACAAGATCTTTCAAAAGTTTTTAATAAAGGTCAGTTCCTGAAAGCTGTAAGTAATAAGTAGATTAAGATATTTAGGCTAAAATAGTTAATGATGTTTATGTCCCGCTTACCGAACATATCTGAAAAAGAATAACAAAAATACTGAACTCCAAGGCAAATTCAAAGAGGGGTAGTACATTAGAAACTGCCAAATAAAACGTTATCAAGTTAAAAACAACGGCCATATTCCTGAATTGTACATTTTCCGAAGAAAACGGTGGGCTAAACCTGGTTTTATATCTACCTTAACCTCCCACTTGTATGCCAGTTGTTTATAGTTCCGTTATATTAACAAAATTGGGTGAGCAACCTAAACAGACATAAAATGATTAATTTAACAATAATTGGGATCAAGCAGCCAAAATTGTGTAACGCTTGCTTTCTTGGGTTTCTAGCATGTTCATGTTGTGAGTATCAGAAATCAACTCTGAAGTCAGTAAGACATGTAATATACACAACTTTGAAATTTATGGTTTGGAATGTTTGTTTGAAAAAAAGAAAATCCAGATTTAAAGTCATTGAGACAACGTCAATCAATAAAAAAAACAATATTTGCAAAAAGTAAAATAACAAAAACACCGAACTCCAAGGAAAATTCCAAACGAAAAGCACTTATCAAATGGCAAAATCAAAATCTCAAACACATCAAACGAATAGAAAACAACGGTCATATTTCTGACTTGGTAAATGCATTTCCTTATGTAGAAAATGGTGGAATAAACCTGGTTTTATAGATAGCTAAACACCAACAATAACTGTGAAAATCTAATTTCAACGCATTTAAATAAATAGATAGTATAGTTTGCACGATATATAGAGGTATTCTGAATGTCTGAGGAATATCTACTCTATTTAATGTTTTCACTATCATGTATGCATGCATCTTAGTTGCTTATTTTAGATGAAGTGAGCATGCCAACTATCATAACATATCCGAATAAATTATACTATGTAGTAGGCGAAGACACTTGTATACTTTTAACTTGTAAGAGCGATGGTAATCCTAAACCAAATTACCAATGGTATAAGGAAAATCATAATGAGGTCATAAACACAACCGAAAGCTGGACTATAACGGATTTGAATGTAACGAATAGTGAAGTATACACATGTAATGTCAGCAACACTTTCAATGGCGGCACGTACACAAAGTCTGGTAAAGTGCGAGTTAATATAATAAATAAAGGTAAATTAATTAAAGTTTATAAAAATTATGACATGTATTTGTAACTTATATATGTGTCTTCTTTATTTGCATGATATGAAAATATTTGAATATTACGTACCGGTAGTACTGTTACAGTAAACAAAACTGCTCTGCAGAGGTACACATATATTATGTAAATAAGCTAATACAGCTTTCAAAAATAATTTTTTAAACATTACTATTCAATACGTGCCTATGTAAAGGACTTTGTTGTTATCTTGTTTTAACATTCTTGAGCTTCTTGATTTTCCAAATTATTTGTACTCTATTTGCTCTTTATTATTCTTATTTCAGTCAGTTTTGAATATTTTATCATGTATATCTGTTTATTTTATAGCCTATGCAAGGTACATTCCTCTCGAGCATTCTAGTACTTTAGGTAGGATCAACAACTTCCTTCCAATTACTTGTTTGTACAATTCCTGATTATTGGATAATTTTATAGTACGTAGGCTTACAATTTCACGCTTATTTTGATATGGATGAGGAATGCTTGTAAAATGAATGCTTTCTACTGTTACTCCAGTTTTATTTCAGATTCTTACCCTTTTGTTAAAAACATATGTTGTAGGTCTGACTTTCAATTATTGTTGGTAATGCTCATTTATTCAGTACTGCACATTCTTTGTTAAGAGTAAGCTTAGGACTTCCCTTTCCGGATATAGGGGACAGATTCTTATCCTTTTGCTAAAAAATTATCTTGTAGGTCTGTCTTCCAATGATCGATATTCATTGCATCTATTAAGAATTGTATATGCGTTGTATAGCTGCATATTTGAATAAGAAAAGAGTTAGCTTAGCACAGTTCCTTTCCGGATATAGGGAGAAGATGCTTACCCTTTTGGTAAAAAGATATGTTGTAGATATAAAAACAAGAAGATGTAGTCCTACTTTCAATTATCGATGTTCATTTTCATTTATTAAGTACTGTACTTCTTTGTTGATATGCACTTTTAATAAGAAAAAAGAGTAAGCTTATTACAGTCCCTTTCCGGATATAGGGGGCATATTCTTACTCTTTTGGTAAAAAGATATGTTGCAGGTCTGACTTCAAATTATCGATGTTCATGTTCATCTATTAAGAACATATTTTGTCTGTGCCTTTCCGCTCCAAGTCAGGAGCCTGTAGTTCAGTAGTTATTGTTGGTTGCTGTCTGTCATAATTGTTTTATGTTTATAAATTTATGATAAATCAGACCATTGGTTTTTGAATTGATTTACATTTTGTCCTGTCGTGGCCTTATATATAAAATAAGAAGATGTAGTATGATTGTAAAAAAACAATTCTCTACCAGAGACCAAATGACATAGGCGTTAACAAATATAGGTCATCGTCCGGCCTTCAACAATGAGAAAAACCCATACCGATTTATAAGCTATAAAAAGCCCCGAAATGACAATGATAAAACAATTCAAACTAGAAAACTAACGGCCTGATTTATGTACAAAACAATAAACGAAAACCAAATACGATATACAGAAGCAAACGACAACTGAATTACAGGCTCCTGACTTGGGAGATGCATATACAGAATTTGGCGGGGTAATACAAGTTTGCTGGCGCCAAACCCTCCTACTAACCTTGGACGGTGTTGTAACAGTACAACATAAGAACAAACTAATTATACGATATGGATTTTACTAATTGTTGAAGGCCTTACGATGATCCATATATAATGTTGATAACATGTACATTTTTTGGTCTCTGTGGATAGTTGTCTCATTTGCAAACATACTTCACCTTCTTATGGCCCGTCGACTAGTCAGCGGGTGCCTTACCCAGTAAACAATCCAACGTTGACATTACGTTGTGACAACGTAATACTATCGTTGTGACAACGTAGTAAAATTACGTTGGTACAAAAATGATACAACGTAATTTGGTGGACTCCAAGGCACGTGCTGACAACCATCCACACAACGTTGGCACAACGTAATTTGTGACGTAATTTATTACCATCATAAGACGTTGTAACAACGTCGCAACACTACTGTAAATGTCCCTTGTCCTCATTTGATTGATAGGAGCAATATAATTCCATTGAAGAAGTAAATAGGGTCTATATTTTATTCTTTTGATCCGTTTTAAGTTGTAAATTTGTCTATGTAGGAAAGATGGACACAATGTCGATATGTACTCTTATTTCCAAACTGCCAGCTGTGTATAATATTGTCACAAAAGGTTTTTTTACCTTTTTGCCAGGTTTCAATGTCAAATGTATAAATATCTCGTTTTCCCAAAAACTTTGCACTATGTTTTACATTAAACCTGTAGTTTTGTCCAATTCATGTTTCACACAGTTGTTTAAGGTTAAAGCCTTAGTTTTTAACTTTTGCAATACTGAAGTACAAGATTTACAAATTTCCATTTAACAAAAGCAACTTTTCTTTAAAAAGTTTAACACATAATACTATTCGAAAAAGGAGATTATGTATGATGGCCAATGAGACAACCCTCTATCCTAAAATCAAATACTGATGATGTTAGCAATTATAGGTAACAGTGCAGCCTTCAACATGACATCTTGGTTCATGCTGCAACTTCTTAATGTTTATGGTTTCAGTGTTCTAGAATATAGATTTCACTATGATAGTGGAAATTCTAGAATGTAGATTTCACTTTGAAGAAGGAAAACATTTTTTAATGAATTATTCAGAAATACAACAAACTACCACATATACCTTGATATTTACTGTAGATTCATTCAGCTGGATGCACTACACAATGACAAGCTAGGAAAAAAGTTTGGAAAAAGGCCCAAAAGCTGACTGTCTAATTTACAACTATATATTCTACACAACTTATACACACTTCTAAAAATATCCCATATGAAGAAAATACCTGAAATTCAATCAAACTAACTTTTGCTTTTTTTTCAATGACCAACTAGAGATAGACCTATCCAAAAGTTAAGACTTCTTTTTCCTTAGCTACATGAACCAATAAAAAAATATAATATGTTTCTGAATTT